TGGGGTGTTCACACAATCACCACCATCTCCTCCCCCAGTTTTTCACAAGAAAAATGAATGTGCAGGTGGCCTTTGTCACCAGGACACTCCAATCCAGGCACCCACACCCCACTCAAATCCCATCCTCCACCAGAAAACCAGAGTGCCTCCAGGAGTAGAAGTGAGATGGTGTCACCTCTGCACGGCCTGAGACAGAATCCTCCTCCAACAGCACCACCCACTCTGCCCGGTCACCAGACTCCAGTGGCCTTTGTCCTGTCATGAGAAGCACCGGACTCATTCCACCCCGCCTCCATGTCCTCCCCTGGCTGGAAGACCTCCAGGCACAGCTCCTGATCATCCAGGCCCCGGTCCAGGTGGCCCTGCTTCCTTCCAGATGCCACCCTTACCACCACCTCTTGTCATTTCTTCCCAGCACTCACCAGTATATGAAACCCTCCTGCCCACTGATATGTTTGCTAGTTCGTTTCCCCAGTGAGACCTCTGTCTGTCTTGCTCCTGGGAGAACCCCAGGAGCACGGAAACAGGGTCCTGACACAAAACATATAAACAGCTGACAACACATGCCCCGAGCAGTGGGCTTCCATCCCTCTTCCCTCATAGCTCAGGACCACCCTGACCAGGCTCCTGGGCCCCTGACCCTGTGTATGAGGTGGGAGGACAGCAGCCCCAGAGCATCATGGTGACCACAGGAGACAGCACATGGCAGAGCCTAGTGCCAAAAGGGACAAGAAGGGCTGCCGCTGTTGCTGGGGGGACTCAGAAACCAGGCAGAGAGGGCCACCGCCCACACACCACTCAGAGCCTCCCGGAGCCCTCAGCATCCCAGCGGGCCCTGCTGCCGCCACAGTGCAGCGTGCCCACAGCTGGGCCAGCCACCCAGAGTGAACACCAGCCCCCGGTGCTCTCTGCCGAGGAAGGAGCCGCGGGCGGCCAAGACTCAATGGGAGCCCCCAGGGAGCTGGTTCTGCCTGGTGCATGGGTTGTCACGGTCTGTGTTATTCCAAAATTCATGTATTGAAATCCTAAACCCCAAAGGTGATTGGGTTAGGAGGAGGGGCCTTTGGAAGGGGCTTACGCCATGAAGGCGGATCCCCATGAATGGGATCAGGGCCCCTTCCACCACGTGAAGGCAGCGCAAGGAGGCGCCAGCTATGAAACAGGAAGGGCCTGACCATGCTGACGCCTTGATCTTGGACATACATCCAGCCTCCAGAACTGCGAGCAATAGATGTCTGTTTTCATAAGCCACTCAGTCGATGGTCTTCTATCGTGACCACTCAGACAGACTAAGGAAGGGGTGCTGCCCCCCAGCCCACACTTGCCAACCCCTCAGAGGGGTTCTGTTTTGACGCCACTGCATGTCATTTGGTCTCACTTGGAAGCACAGGACCAAAGTGCAGGCAGCAGCTGAGGCCACCACCTTCACAGTCACTTGTCCCTCCCAGCCTGGGCCTTCATTCCCCCTTAGAGGAGCAGGCTCTGCAGGGCCTTGCTGGTCACTGACGAAGCCGCCACGGCTAGGCTGCTCTGGCTCGAAGGGCAGCGGGCAGCCAGGAGCCTGTAATCCCGCCTGGGCGGGGGCCCTTGGGAGCAGCATTAGGCCCCAACCGCATGTCACCAAACAGCCCTGGGCAGCACTGTGCCCCCATTATACACGGTCCCCTGTCCTC